ACATTGGTGTGAACATAGGCTTCCTCAGCCGTACACTCTGATTTGCTGGTAGGATTCGAAAGAGCAAAAATAATCGGTTCGAGCATTGATCTCAGCCATTTCGCGGAGGATTTCTGGCGTAAATGCTCCGAAGACCGTTGAAATACCTGGAAATGGTCTGATAGCATCAACTGGATCAGCTGTATACACCTTGACGACTTGCTTTAACACTACATTATCTTCTAAGGTGTGATCCCAAGCGAGGACAAGACGTGGGCCTAAGTCGACAAAGAGAGCAGTAGAAAATTTCCTTGTGTAGAGGATTGTCTTTCGAGGGATAAGAATTTTCAGATGACGCTTAGAGCGAAAGGGCTGTGGGTCCAGGTGAACTGAAGCAGTAGTGGACAATCCCTCCTGTGAACCCCTCAAAAGGGTCTCGTAATGCCGGTAATCTCTATTTTGCAAGAGAAGTTCCTTGAAGCCACCCCTCCCTAGTCGACTTGCACGTGGATATGAAAGGAAAAGAAGCCAGCTCACCCATGAGTGCGTTTGGCTTGACCATTTTGATCACATCCAGAAGACCTTTCGTGTCCGGAAGATCCTGAAATCGTGCATGATCGTGATCACAAAGATGAAAGTTCTTTCATAAAAGTGAGTTTGAAAGTGAACACAGTGCTTTAAAAGTGCATGATTAGCATCGCGTACATAGCTATTTTCATCCAAAAGCACGCGGTCTCAAGATGGCAAACAATAGAAGGTGAAGAAAAAACAGAAAAACCCATCCAGAATGCTCCTTATAAAACTCCATGCTGAACCGCGCTTGTACGTGCGGAGGGCGAAAAGAGGGCGTGGTTGGACGAGTTTAGTTTGGTGTCAGCCTTTTCACAATGTCACCTCACTCTCATCATTGGAGAGTAACAGGGACATTCGCGCCATCAGGTTGCATCAAAAAAGAGAGTTGGGCGTCACCGTGGCTAGTAGGCGGAGCCGTGGACTAGTTGGCGAGCCACCCGCAGACAATAAGGAAAGTTGGGCGTCGTCGTACATAGTATGCGGAGCCTTGGAATAGTTGCGAGCCTTTAATTTCAGTACTATGCTGTCTCAATGCATCAGTTCAATAAGAGTATTAAACTGTAAACTTTGAAACTGCAACTAACAGCCTTTCCCTGATGGTTGTGGGCACAGAATTTTTTCTAAGGAGAGGTCAAAAGTGCCCCGTAGAGTAAGCTGGGTAACGCAACTGCCGCGTAAGCGAAGATGCGGTTCGAGTCCCGCCCCGTGCGACTTTTGGCCCCCCAACTCACAGCAACATTCTTTGTGATCACAACTGTTATTTTTTTTCGATCGCGCACTGCGGCGTAAAACAGCAGTTATCAAAACAAAAACAGTCTAAAACTTGTAAAAAGCCTTCAGCCTTGCGGTTCACTGCCGATATCGGCTAACCGGCTCATCACGTTGAACGTGTGAGTGCTCGAAGGCAATGGCGTAATAGAAGATGCGGGTTCGAGTCCCGCCCGTGGTCCGACTTTTGCCCACAACTCAGCATTCTTGTGCAAATGACAGCCTTTTCCTGGTGGTTGTGGCACAGAATTTCATGGGTGTGTGGGACTCACCGCCGCGCTCGAAATTAGGTCGCCGCGCGCGGCGACCTGGTTGCGACGCGGCGGTGAGTCCTAACCTGGCAATTTTGCAAACTCTGACGATTGTAAGCTATAGCAGTTTGTTTGGAGCGTTCACTTCCTTCATCTTCCAGTTCTAAGGACATTTGCAACATTAAACCAATATTCAAAACAACGTAAATCAAGTTCAAACATGAAAGCGCCGCGCGCTTTTGACCTACATTCCGAGCGCAACAGATCTCTGACTGTGTCGCAAATCACTGCCCCCCCCCCCAACGCCCTATCATTTGCAAGAATAGCGGTACTTCTCCCGTTTACATGAAAATAATTTTTCTTTTGTTCTATATAAACTTAATATCTAACCTTCGCAAATTGCTGATGGCGGGGAGAGAGCGTCTTCGCACGTTCCTTCGTGATCAAACCTTTGCTGTTCAGTACGAAAATGTTGTCACATGCTGCTTCTCTTGAAAGTCCTTCATCCATCATTTGAAGTACACATAACTCAGCCACTCCTAATCCAGCCTTAATGGAAATTTGAAGTATACCTATTGAAGCATCCTTTATTTTGCCATTTAAACTGCTGAAGGCGCAGTTCGAGCTGGTGGGGACATTTTGGTGCTTTCCATCGCCACGGCCGGTGCTCCTTGTGGAGAGCCGTGAGCTCTTGTAAACCTATGCAATATCAGAAGCCTTGTTTACAGCTCGTGGAAGCTATAAAAAGAGCACCTCACCGATGCAGCGTGTAATCATTAATCGACTTTCTCGTACTACCCATCTTTCTAACTAACGTTGTTAACTCCTCATTCCTATTTCTAACAACCTGTTGCTGAAACTATTACAAAGTCCTTGAATAAAATTCAACTACTCCAGTTTGAGGTATACATCAAATCGAGATTATAGGCGGGTCGTACTGTTCAATACAAATGAACGCAAAAACTAGAAATCAAGCTGAACCATCTTACCGAACCAGCTCCAAGAAACACAATCTTTTGCTCTGACAGTTTCTGCTTGGTGACGCGAGTTGCAGCCAATAACCCGGCAACAACCACCGTAGCTGTTCCTAAAATCATTTTGGATTCAGACCTTAGAGTTCAGATCTTATGAGTTAGTACCAAATATCGCTTGACCTTGGATATCGTCATTGAATGTACAATAATCGTTCTTGTATCTGTCCAGTATTGGGAAAGCGTTCACGTTTGCAAAGTCCTCGAATTGAATGAGCGTGTCACGGCCAAACCTCAAACCGTTAAAAATTAGACCATTTTAACATACACTACCGCAATGTACGACTCGCACCTTTTGGTTACTGCTTTCATAAAGTTATCGATGAGGCGATCGTATTCCGGACCACGAATTCTTCTCATGCCGAAGACCAATGTAGAGTGGATCAGCCAATAAGTTCTTTAACAGAGTTTATACTCGCATTATATATTCACTTTAATTGATTGATCATACAAGTAGTCAATCCATATTTCCTTATGTTACCCTCCTTATCCCTGCGACGGAGTAAGCGCGGTCTTTGAAGATGACTTAGGAGAACTACTCGTGGGACAGTCTAGTTTGAGAGAACTATTGAAATGTTCTATGTTGGGCAAAGACGTGACCACAACTGTCCAAAATGAAAATATCTCATGAAACACCTTCGCCGCCGTCAAGCACGTCATATGTTAGGAAATCCTCTCCCCCAAACAGCAATATTTTCAATTGCAAACTGGAGAATTTCTCAGGAAAGAATGCAGGTGTGACTTTAAGAAGATGGTAAGTAGGATGAGGAATGGCGGAGAGAAGAGGTCGTACTAGATGAGTGATTTTGAGGATCTTATTCTGTGAAATGTTCCTTCAATGGCAGGACATGCCCTGGTTACGGAAATCATCAGATGATAGCAATTCCTAGGCGCGCTGTCGGAAGGCGTGCAAGCTCAATTGGGACGTTTTTATCGCTGATTGTTTCCTAACAGTATTGGCAACTATTGGTAGAAAACAGCTGTGGGTGGGCTTGTCTCACGCCCCCTGACACCGCTCTATCACCCCTCCTCCACTCCCCCGATGTGACTGACTACAAGGTTAACGTCATGGGGTGGAGAAGGGCAGTCCGAACCCTTCGATAGGTAAAGATCAGCGTCGACAATAAAGAATGTTCAACAGAGTGCAGATTTGCGTCTATTGCTTAAGGTTCGCCAACCCGGATGCAGTACAGCAGTGCTTGCTGGCGGGCTGACACTTTTTTGGTTTAGGATTCCCTTCACTATGATAAACCATAAACCTCAACCTCATTTGGCGGTGCACTCGTCCCTGAGTATTTTACTGAAGCGCGAGGGACTACCTTCTGAAGGCATGGCTCATCTCAAGTCATCTGCATGCATGAAAAATATAATAGAAACCATACCTGATTGTTAGTGCCAACATCGAGAACAACCGGAAGACACCAGCTAGGTTGAACTCCTCCCAGAGCCACATAGAGACCTAATTTACCAACTGGGATTCCCATACCATAGGCACCGAGATCACCGAGACCAAGAATTCGTTCACCATCAGTCACTACTATGGCCTGAAAGATTGCGCTAAAATTACGAGAGAAATTAGCTCAGGAGAAGTAAAGGAACTGCACGAAATAATAGACTGCTGTTACTAATAATCATAATAGTTTTCCAACTAATTTGTCTTATTTTTCGAATTTTTTGTGGGAATTATCTTCTGATTACTACACTAACCTGTGGCGACCAGAGGAGATGTGAAGATTCTATAAGCTGATGGCGACGCAAATGAGCGCGTTTTGTGAAATTTTTCCCAAGGTGCGCCGTTCAGTACGACCAACATGCATACCATTTCACCAGTTGTTCTCAAAATACTACAGTAGACCTCGTTTCCCTTCTGCCGCACGGTGGGGGAGAGGGGCGGGGATATCCGTGATGATCAGCTATTTATCACGAATAGTGAATTTGCCGCGCGTCAACTGGGGGAGGGGGAGGAAACCCGTTGCGCTTTACTCTTGCCTCCGTCTCTCAAATGAAGAAGCACTTTGGGTTTTCTTGCCGTTGTTTTGAAAGACCCACAGATTATTAATGTTCGCAAAACGTCTCTTATAAATAATAAAATATCTTAAAGGCACGGTCCGCGATCAAGTAACGAAGTTGAAAATATGGCCTCAATAAGTTAAAATGATCCGCGACGAACAACTTTGTACCGGTTCTGCGGCAAAAAATTCTAAAGGAGGGCGCTATAGCGCAACATATGTAGGATCAGTGGTTTTTTTTTCCATGACCCCGAATCGCCGTCTTTCAATGAAAAACGAGCCGATAAGAACTGCTACGTAACGTACAAGTGACGATTTTCCCTTGCAAAACAAGCATATAAAATCGTATGTGATCGTAGAGTTCTTACCCAGTGAATCGGCCTGTGGCGTAATGGGAGCGCAGTGTGGTATGAATAAGAATAATTGGGCATGCACCAACTGGGAATGCAAAACAGTGGGGTTCTATATAGGGCAGGTGGCATGTTTTTTGTGCTTGTTTCCTTCTCATTGTCGAGTAAACTCGATCTCTTGTCGTTCGAATAATGATGAACCGCCCCTAATCCACTATCTGAGATGGCGAATAATCGCGGGGTTCTGCCCTTTAAAAACGAAAAGCACGTCCAAAGGGCGGTAACGGAATGGGGACTAGCACTATTTTTTGTCTAAGTAACCCCCGACATTGCTGTTCCATAAGCAATCATACTGCTTAAACATTCTTCACATTGGCCATGCCGTGGTGGCATTTTCACGTAACCAGTAAATCCGCGTTTTATTTGGCCTATGACTCTTCAGCGAAAAACAACGCGCCACCAAACTGCTAGGTGATTGAAGCCTTTGCCATCCATTCAACCACAAGGAGTTGTTAGGTGCGGCCACGTGATGTCTTCTATCCTCACAACATCGGCACGCAAAATTAAGGAAGGCATTGGGCTAAATATGATATTTTTAAACTAAAGCAAGTTCCTAAGCTAATTCAGCCATACACGATACTTTAGAATCAGTCAGGTACTGGAGCGAATGTCGCTCAAAATCAATCTTTAGTTTGTAGAGCTCTTAGCCTAGTACACTCACCTGTACATTTGATATTGGCCAGTTACATAAAATTTGATAGATTTTGCTAATACTGTTGTCATTAATGGTTATATAGAGCCCCCTGAAATGGAAACTGTCGTATGAAAATCCTTGAAGTGAGGTAAAGGCACTAAGATCGTTGGAAGGGGAGGTCACTGCGCCGCGTTTGTCTCCCTTGCCCGCCTAAGAAGGCCTAAGGCATAGAGAGTGCAACCCGCCAGAGTCACCGATAGTAGCGCAGAAGAAGAAATAGTTCATTCCGCTTGATTAGGGAGAAGGGACGCAGAGGTGCTGTCAAGTGCCCCCCCCCCAACTACTTACAAGGAAAGGATGGTTGGTCGAAGTGGCCATTTAAAACAAGATGTATACTCACTGATGCGTCTTCGGACGCTGATTTCAAATCTGCTTTCCATATCTGCTGAACGATTCTTTGAGCAGAGATATGCAGGAGGTTGTTGTACGGAGCACAGTAGAGCTTGGTATACAAATAAGACGTGAGTCGCCACAGTGCCTCGTAATCGGAAGTAATGACGACTCAAGTATACGAGGTTAGAGGTTCGAGTCCTTGGTGGACGTGTTCTTTTGCATTGGTTCAGCAGTGCTCTCTGGAAGTTTTTAACACAGCCTAGCATGATCAGGCTTGTCATCCATGATAGAATCTTTTTCTTGCATCAGCATCATTTCTGATGCCATATCGACCAACCATCTTTCCTTGTTAGCCCCGAAGAAAATGCCTGGCAGGTGACATCTAAAGACTGTCTGTGCAGAGTTGGTATTCCCCTTGTCTAAAGGATTTGTTTTAGTTGCCCAAGAGATCCACCATTCTAGGGAACTGAAGTTTCTCAGCACTATAGTTGGAAGAATCCTACGGCAGTCCCAGTTCTGCACAAGGAGGCCTTCAAATGCCGCAGTTCCCTCCCTAGCCAACTGGTGTCAAAAATACAAATCAGATAATGAACTTACTTTGGATGCCTGTAATTGTGTCCGAATTCTTGACAAGCCAAACCGACTGTAGGAGTATAAACGATAGGCATCAATTCCCTGACGTTTTCACTTAGAATTCGATAGAACAACTTTTCATTGCGACACTGTAGTTCATCGAGGATAATATACCTTGAAAATGAGAAGAAAGATAGTATTGTCGTGAAACAGGTGCCAAAAAGAAGTGATATAAACTTCGACAAGTTGTCCTTTTGCTCTCGGATTCTCATCATCATACGATATACCTGCTGCTCTTGAGTCATAAAGGCCGGCGGCAATAGTCCATGAATTCCAAGATGTTGACGTTCGTCCAAGGAGAATGCCATGCCCTAAAAAGCCTGAAATTAACATGACCACAGAAATGGATAAATATTCGGGTTCTAGCAACCTTAGTGGGCGTAGAGGGGAACAAAAGACTTTATAACGAGGCTTCCTCGAGGGCTTTTCAAATGGCTTTTAGTACGAAACTTGCCTTATCGCTAATATTTCAGGTCAGCTCGCCCACGCCCCAGCTCATTTCCCCTTCAGACCTAGGCGAAAATCCTCATCTTCGTTACCTTAGTCTATTTGTGAGCGAGGAGCCGTTTGAATGTCCTCATCCTCTAATTATCAGCTCAAACGCGACATCCCTCTCCTTTCAGTTGGAGAAAAATGAAAGTATTCAGGGAATGCCTAAAGGCTGCTGCATGTGATAGCGGCGAGATAAATTGCTTTCTACGCGATTTCACTTTTCTAATATTTTTTATTTAAACATTATCATTTCCTTGTTAGCAATTTAAGTTTCATTCAGGACAATAATATTTAGGCTTGGGGAGGCATTTTGCGTTTTCTTTACTTCCCATCGCCTTGTTGCCGGCAAGTAGAGATTTGTGAAATCTTGCGAAGCCAGAGTGGTACCAGTGAAGGTGCTTGTCATCCCTGTAAAGATACTTTTACTCTAGTAGGCAATGAACGCGACGATAGGAAGTGGCGAAAGTGCAAAACGCTTCCCCCCCCTCCCCTCCAAGCCAAACTAGGCTCATCTTCCTATATTTTTTACTACACGATTTTCCAATCTATTTATGTTCACTTTTAGCTCAGACTGTTTTGTAACACCATGATTGTCACGCATAAGCTGAAAGAGAAGCGATAATCATTACAGAGACGCGAGCGGTCGCGAAGAGGCAACTCCTTGACTCGATGATTTTGTACTACGCTGCTATAGCTCTACACATGAAATACTTGGCTTGTGGACAGCGCTCAACTATGGAATAAGTAACTAACCTTGTTTATGCGAGGAGTATTGAGAAGTTGATACCCCCTCTCATTTGGAGTGACTCTTTCCGGTCTGTACAGTTTATGAAGTGCCAGTTTCTTTGGATCAGTGAGATCAGGTTCATGCATACTTGCTAAAGCGGCTACTGACGTCTGAACAGCGCGAACACAAGTACTGAAAAAATGAGGGTTTTGTATGAATATGATTTTTTAACGGTTAGTAAAGCAACAACACCACGCAGTTATCCAACACAGATCGATAAACGGTAACATAAAAAATAAAGATAGATAAATCAAAGCATAGAAAGGACGAAGTGAGCTGGGGGGGAAGGAACGAGGAGGTGGTAGAACACCTGATGGTGGAGAGAAGTGGCCCGCCAACACTGCCCTCCATCACCAAGTTCAACATTGATAACTAAGGAAGTCAGTACGTCACCACAATAACACCACAATCGATAACAAAACTCACAGGCTGGTTCCCTTGGGACAGAACATCCTTGCTCAGAACTTGCCTGGAAAACTAACGAAATAGTTCAAGAAACTATTTCAAGATGATCTGTAATTGCAATTACATGTTGAGAGAAAAACAGTTTGCTAACACATCATCAAGTTTCCACACATTTACACTCCATACCTTGCAGACGGGAAGGGCGTGGCTGCGTCGTTCATTTGAAAGCAGCGGCTTCTACCCTTTCGGTGGAAGAATATTGGGGGGGGGCATTTTGCTTTCCATAGATGTGTCGACCCATCTAGGTAGCGTTTTCTCGAGTTGACACGTTTTCGGATGGTGGCTAGACGATCCTGCTTCCAACTTTACAGAGTTCACAGGTTCTACCAAAGTAAGATTTGCCAAACCCAGGAACAAGGGAAAGCAGTGATAAGTACAGCACATGCCCACAACACCCTCGATCGATAAAACAGCGCCGAAAGTTGGTTTTTGGAACATCGGAAATTCAACGCCTTGCTCAGCAGCACATAATGAAATACTGCATCAAATGAACACACCGTAGAACAACTCATCCTAACATCAGTCAGATACAGTACAGAAGCCGGCCTCCCAGAGACCGCAAGGTAATTTTACAAACAGCTCTTGATTTTACAATAACTTATTCCCGACGGCAGGATAGTGCATGTTCTA